GAAGCACCTGACAATCTACTTTGTTCTTAGAGGTGCCAAAGGTTAGGGTCAGTGAATGTCAAGAAGAGTTGGTTTCTAATTAATTTAATCAATTTTTGAATAAAGTCCCCCCCCAATTATAAAAGTTAACCATGCATATTGCAGAAATTTTGGAAAATATACAAAAGTACAAAGAAAAAAATGAAAAATTAGAATCTTCCCATACAGGGTTCACCATTTTTAACATGGCAGAACAGAGTTTCTAACTCCTTTTTGACAGTTCAGCGGTCCTCAGGGACCCAACTCCTGCCCAGCAGGTGGTCTGGTTCCCCATATGCTGGTGATTCTTGGATTAGAGACAGCATGGAACTCACTTAAACTTTTTGACTTAGAATTGCTGAGCCAAAGGCCATAAACATTTTGTAAGCCTCTTAAGACCCCTTTTCAGATCGCTTTCCAGAGAGTTTATACAAACAGCATCGCAGTGTTGGAGAGTCTACCTTACATGCATTAGTGTACTAGCTGATATTTTTTTGATGGGCAGAAGTTATAAGGTGTGGACATCCCTGGTGGTCCAGTGGTTAAGAATCCACCTGCCAATGTAGGAGACACAGGTTAGAACCCTGGCCCGGGAAGATTCCACATGCCACAGAGCAACTAAGCCCGTGTGCCACAGCTCCTGAAACTGCATGCCCGAGAGCCTGTGCTTCTCCAGAAAGGAAGCCACCACGGTAACAAGCCCTCACACCGAAACTAGAGAGTAGCCCCTACTGCCACTAGAGAAAGCCTGGAGCAGCAATGAAGACCCAGTGCAGCCAAAAATAAATAAATCTTTACTTAACCACATCCACAAAGACCCTTTGAAAAAAGAAGTTATAATGTGCATTTTTATTTTTAGTGAAGTGAAATATCTCTCATGTTTGTAGGCCATTTTTATTTTGTGATTTATTTTTTGTCTATTTGGGGAACAATTGATGTCATTCTTTTTACTTGCGTTCTTTAAATATCAAAAACATTGATCCTTTTTCAAATTTCTCAGCATTTCCTTGACGACCACCCCCACTCCCCCATTTTTTTTTTCCTTAGGCATTTTGCTGTGTTCTGAAGTAGATGCAGCTTTCATTTTTATGTGGTTCAACTATTTTCAGGTATCACTTCTGATTGCTTTGATGCTTCCAAAATTCTTCTGGACTAAAGGTAGAGGTGGAGCAGAGTTTCTTCTTTTTGACATTGATGTGCTCAGTGTTCCACACCCTGTGATTGGAGACCAGTCTGCACTGGAACCATCTGGGATGGTTGTTATAAAAACAGGTTTTGGGGGCGTCATGCCAGAATCCATAATTTCTGAGAATAAGCCCTGTTTAGCAAGTATCATAGGTGGTTTTAATGAGTATTGACATTGGAAAACCACATCTCCAAGGAACTGGAATATACTATATCTAGTGGGAAAAAAGACATAACTTGATCTTTCTGCCAAATAGCCAATTTTCTCAGCTCCAGCCATTAGCTAATAGTCCACCTCTTCCTGAATGGTCTGTAGAAAGAATGCTCTCACACTTAAAGAAAATTAAAGCTGGAGTTTGATGTCAGGTACAAAGAACTCTCAGTCTTGGAAAATGTCCAAGCCCTCAGACTCCTGGTGTCTTGGGGTCTCAGGGTCTGGATGTGAAGTCAGATGAAATGACATTTCATAAGGTACCTGAAACCACTGCTTTTTTCCTCCAAATGCTCTTGAAGGCCTTTCTCCAGCTAATTTGGAATCCAGGAAGAAAGTGCTTTGAAGGTTCAGGGCCACAGCTGAGAGAGCTTTCTCAAAAGAGAGTCTTTTTTTTTTTTTGACAAAAAAGCCCAGCAAGGATAAACTCCCACACTCTAGTACATGCCAGCAGCCTGGGAGGCTTAAATGCTGGGCCCAGTTGTCAATTTCATGACCAAGCTCCGCCCAGGGGAGGCTGGGAGCTTCTAGAAGATTCAGATGCCTGCTGCAAACTTAGAGTAGTGACCAAGTCACTGTCACACCAGGCCTGTGTTCTGATGGCCCTCCTTCCCATTCAAAAATCTGAACTTGACTTATGAACACATGCATAAGGTGTACATAGCAAGCCGATGGCAGGGTACAGAAGGCCAACAGCTCTTCACAGAGCCCCAGTGGGCAAACCAGAGGACTGTGCCCTGGACCCCTAACAGGGTGTTATGTCCAACACCTCTGGGGAGGTCATATGGGGTGGGGATGGCCCTCCCAGAATGCCAGGACCCCATCATGCTTGCCCCACTGTAGAGATGGGAACTGGAGTCCAGGCGAGGGGCTTGGTGTTCCACATGGAGCAGAGCCCAGCTGAGGCATTTGGGCTTTGTCATTCCTCCAAAGCAGCAGTTCCCAAAATGTGGTCCTTGGACCAGCAGCATCAACATCACTGGGGAGCTTGTCATAGAGTGCAGACTCCAAGACCTGGCCACTCCAGGCCTGCTGGGTCAGAAGCTCTGGGCGTGGATCCACACTCGATCCTAAAAAGCCTTCCTGTGCAGATTTAAGAATCCCTGGCCTAACATGTGCCCACATGACATGGGATCCTATTACATGGGATCTCCCACAGCACAGGGAGATTACTGAGATGCTTCAGATCTCTTTGGAAAGCGGATGTTGTGGGGAGGGAAAGAAAGTAGAGGGGAGGGGATCACAGTCCCTGTGATGGACGGAGTGTTCCTGTCCCCCCGCATTCCTGTGTTGAAATCCTCACCCCGTACAATGGTGTTAGGAGGTGGGGCCTTAGGGAGGTGATTAGTTGAGGGTGGAGCCCTCATGGATGGGATTAGTGCCTTTATAAAAGGACCTTGAGGGGCTCCATCCCTCCTTCCACCACCTGAACCAGAAAGTGGGCTCTCACCAGACCAAACCTGCCAGTGCCTTCATCGTCGACTTCCAGCCTCTAGAATCATGAGAAAAACATCTGCTGTTTAAGCCACCCAGCACATGATATTTTTAAAAAGATTTACTTATTTATGGTTGTGCTGGGTCTTCGTTGCTGCTTTCTCTAGTTGTGGTGAGAGAGGGCTGCTTTCTAGTTGCAGTGTGTGGTCTTCTCGCTGCAGTGGTTTCTCTTGTTGGGAGCCTGGGCTCTAGGTGCACAGGCTTCAGTAGCTATGACTCATGGGTTCTAGAGTGCAGACTCAGTAGGTGTGGTTCACAGACTCAGTTGCCCTGCAACATGTAGGATCTTCTGGGAGCAGGGATTGAACTAGTGACTCTTGCATTGGAAGGTGGATTCTTAACCCCTGGACCACGAAGAAAGCTCTAGCATATGGTATTTTATTATGGCAGCCAGAATGAATAAAATGCTCCCATGTACATCTCCAGACCAGAGTCTAAACCTCACAGCCCGGGACCCCATGTGGCTCCCCAGCCCACCACTGTCTCAGACTGCCAGTCAGATTCTTCGTGCTGCAGCCGAACAGAAAGCCCCCATGTGTTTCCTTCACTTCCTCCAGCCCTCCCCTCACCTCTCTCTTCTGAAATCTGACTCAAGCTCTACCTGGGATGTTCTCTTGGCTCCAAAGGTCCAAGAGTCAGAAACTCAAAATGATGCTTTCTCGGCAGCACCCTCACCCTTTCGGTGTAAACTGCTCTTAAGACCTGACCTGACATCACCTCCTTTCTTATATTCAGCTTCCCTAATTAATTCAGTGGCCAGGTCCTACTCAGGGCCCCACCCCACCCTTCCTCCCTCCAAACCTCCCATCATCTCTCCCAAAAGTACCTGGAGAACATCAGTCCCGTGTTGCTTATTGAAGGAATTGCATCATCTCTTCTGAAGCTCCCCCATGAAAGGTAACTTGCTGACAGGCCACCGTTTGCCGCAAATCAGTTGCTCTGAACTTTCAACATTTACCTAAGTCAGTCAACATCAGCAGATCCCCAGGGGCTGCGGTGGTCACTAGGATGATTTTATTCCTGTGGCTCAATGACACCAAGCCACTGCATCCACACACACCAGGTCTTTCCAACCTTGACCTGAGAACGTCAGGCTGGAGCGGGGACTCCCTTAGACAACCTTGAATTCAATCTCACAGGTGGGAAAACCAGCCCCAAGAAAGGCTTTGCCTTGCCCCGGTCTCCCTGAGAGTAGCAGTCATGCCAGGAAGCTCTGGGACCCTTCGTGGGCAGTAGGCCCTGACTTGGTATCCAGGTTTTGGGAGCCAGTGATGAGATGTCTCCCTACAAACTGAGTGTCCCCTACCCTGCTGCTGGTCAGGTCAGCTCCCGCACATCCTACGGCTCTGGGCAGCTCCCGTGACTCCTGTGTGCCCAATAATCAAGCATTTATCCAGAGCTCTCTGGTCTCAGACGGATCCACTCACGACAGTGAGAAATGCATTCCTCACTTCCGGTACAGGTCTCCAGCCCGATACCTCCCACCTGGCTGCTGCCTCCAACTCGGGACCTTCCTACCCCGATCCCCTTGCTTGTCCATGTCCCGGGCAGGCCTCATCTTGATCTCTGTGATGTGCTGAGTCGCTCAGTCATGTCCGACCCCTTGGACTATAGCCCCTCCAGGTTCCTCCGTCCATGGGGCTTCTCCAGGCAAGAATACCGGAGTGGGTTGCCATGCCTTCGTCTGAGAGATCTTCCCCAACCCAGGGATCGAACCCAGGTCTCCCACATTGCAGACGGATTCTTGACCATCTTCGCCACCAGGGAAGCCCAAGAATACTGGGGTGGGTAGCCTGTCCCTTCTCCAGGGGATCTTCCCGACCTGCATTGCAGGCGGATTCTTTACCAGCTGAGCTACCAGGGAAGCCACACCTTGATCCCTATCAGTCCCCAAATGTGGGGAACAGTGTCCCCTCTGCCCCTCCTGGCCTCAGGATCCAATCCTGCTCTCTCACTGCCCCGCCACGGCCTGCTGGCTCCCCCACCCTCCCCCCCACCCCCGCTGAGCCGGGAGCTCTGGTGGGTGAAGAAAAGAGGCCAAGCAGGTAAGGATTTGGTCATGATGCTGGCAGCCTGGAGGCCCCGGGCTGCCTCAGCATAGGCTGAAGCACTCTGAGGTCTGGGTGCTGGCAAAGAGGTTCCTGGGGGTTGAGTCTTCACTCACTGAATGTTTCTGGAAGGGTCTGAGGCAGCTTCTGCGGCCCTGGTCCTTGGGATTGTTTGCTGTCCAGCACACGATGGGTCCTGTGAGCAGTGAGACGAATCTCACAGTCTCCATTTTGTCCAACATGAATTCCTGGAAGGAAAAAGAAATCTCTGGCGCCTGACTGGGCATCGGGCCCTGGACGCCGCTTCCCAGACACCAAATCGCCATCAAAGGTTGACCTGCATGTCCTCTCACAAGGGCCCCGACAAGGATGTGGTATCAATGCTAACTGGCAAGGAGCAAACTAGGGTTCAGAGAGGTCAGGTGACTTTCCTGAAACGACTCAGCTCAGCAGTGGCAGAGGTGGATGGCTCAGAGCCCAGGTCCTCGTGTGGCTTCCTGAATGGGGTTGCCTGCCTCTTCTCACCACTTCCTCCAAGAAGCCCACCCTGACTGCCCACAGCCTCTCTCTCTGCGGGGCACTCATTTCTTAAGGGCCAGGTGACCTTTATTTCCCCCACCTCTAACTCTTTCCCAGGCATAAGAGTGTGACTGTAAGTCTTGACTGATTGATTGTTGAGGGAGATCCTTGGGACCCCTTGACATCACTGGGTAATTTCCTCCTTTTTCTTGGGAAGAAGATGAAATTAATATACTGCAAGTGTAAGGGCAAATGTTCCCTTTCTCAAATGTTCATTCATGTCCAACATGAAGAAGCTACACCCCAGGGGATGCCAAATATGTGGCGTTCAGTGTGAGCTGTGCCACGGAGCAGGGTGGCCCTGATACTGCCCATGACATTCTTGTGAGACGTTCTCCTCAATTAAGATGCAGCCTCACTCACTGTCGACCATCACTGCTGGACAACATAGGCATGGGACTTGGGACAACAACATGGGGCTTGCCCACCACCCGCCGCCCACCAGTGTCCTGGTAAATCCCATGGACAGAGGATCTTGGTGGGCTACAGTCCATTGAGTTGCAAAGAGTTGGACACAACTGAAGCAACTTAGCAGGCAGTAACAGGTCCCAGAGGCACTAACAATCCTGAATTCAAACTACTCCACTGAACCTGCCATGAATGAGGAAAGCAAGTTACGGCTTAGGATAAAGCCAGCGCTGAAGGGGAAATAGGGGAGGGTGGAAAGTTCGGTCCTTTAAGTGCCACTGAGCCTTGGTCACAGTGAGCCTGAAACCCACCCAGATGTTGAAATTACACGCACAACACAAGACATGCTGTTACAAGAGTCAAATAACCTCAAAAAAAAATAATAATAAGGAAAGAACAAAGCTAGAAGACTCACTTCCCAGTTATAAAAAACTTACTACAAAGCTGCAGTGATCCAGACAGTCCAGTATTGGCTAAGGACAGACGTGAGAACCAATGGAATAGGATTAAGAGTAGAAACAAACCTTCACATTTGCAGCCAGTTGATTTTTGACAAGGAGGAGGAAACAATTCAATGAGGAAAGAGTAGTCCTTTCAGCAAATGGTAACAGGACAACCGAATATCCTCATGCAAAATAATGAAATTGGACCCCTATCTGATACCATATACAAAAATTAACTAAAATTACATCACAAACCTAAAACTATAAATATCTTACAAGAAAACTTAGATATAAATCTTCATGACCTTGGATTAGGTAATAGTTCCTTAGATATGATAAGTAAAGCACAAGTAACTAAAATAAAAATACATACATTGGATTTCATCAAAATTGAAATCTTTGTGCTTTAAAGGACATCATCAAAGTGAATAGATGACCAGTAGAATGAGAGAAAATATTTTCAAATAATACATTTGATAAGGAACTTATATTCAGAGTATGTAAAGAATATTTACAACTCAACAATAAAAAGACAAATAATCCAGTTTAAAAAATGGGCAAAGGGTCTGAGTAGACATTTCTCCAAAGAAGATATGCAAATAGACAATAAACACATGTGTGTTCCACATTATTCATCATCAGAGAGATGAAAATCAAAATCACAATGAGATACCACTTTATATGCACTAGGATGGCTAAATTATCAAAGACAGACCATCAAGTGTTAACAAGGATGTGAAGAAACTGGACCCCTCATACTTTGATCACAGGATTGTAAAATTACAGAGCCACTTTGGAAAACAGTTTGGCAGTTCCTCAAAATGTTAAATAGAGTTACCACGTGAATCAGAAATTCCACGCCTAAGCATTTACCCAAGATAATTGGAAAAGCTATGTCCACCCAAGTACGTGGCCATGGGGACTTTCTTGGTGGTTCAGTGGCTAAGACTCATGCTCCCAAGGCAGGGGGCCCAGGGTTGATCCCTGGTCAGGGAACTAGGTCCCACGTGCCGCAACTATACAAGATCACACATGTTGCAGTGAAGATCAAAAAATTCCCTGTGCTACAACTAAGACTCAGTGCAGCCAAATAAATAAATTTTTTTTATAAATAAATATTTTTAAAAGAACACAGGCAACAGAGGCATTATTTATAGGGCTTCCCTGGTGGCTCAGATGGTAATTATTTATAATAGCTGCCAAATGAAAACAACCCAAATGTCCATCAGTTGACTACTGGACAAACAAAAGTGGTCTATCCATACAATGGAATATTATTCAGTCATAAAAGGGAATGATTTATGCTACCACGTGGATGAAACTTGAAGACATTATGCAAAGTGAAAGAAAGCAGATACAAAATGCATTATTTGAGGGGAGTGGTAAAAGGATTCAGGAATGAGATACTACAAATGATGGTGCAGTTCTGACTGTACTGAAAACAGTAAAGTGAGCACTCTGAACGGGTAAATCTTAGGGCACTGGAAGTATATCTCATTAAAGATATTATTAAAACTAAAACAAGGTATGCTGTCATTGGTGGAAGCCAATCTGATGTCCTGACCTCCACTGTTGCAGCATCAGCATTATGACTGATGAGGGTGGGGACCCCCAGTGAGAAGGCAAAGCTCAGTGGACTTGAGAGGAGCCTGAAGTTTCAGACGAGGACCCTGCACTGAGGCTGCCTCGGTCACTGAAATGTCCCTCCCTGTGTAAACATATGGCCACATCTGTGAGCATCTTGGTGTGTTGGTTTGCAGGTGTGTCCATGTATGTTTCATGTGTATTGCAGGGTGTCCGGTGAGACCATATGACTGTCTGTATGGGTGTGTACCCCATGTGTGTTAGTGTGTGTGTGTGTGTGTGATGTAACAAAGTGGGACTACACATTAAGCCCAGGCAGGACAGGAGTTGCTTGATAACTCTCTGACCCAGCACCAATAGGTGCTCATTACAAGTTTGTTGAGAGGCTAAAAAAGATTGTAAATCCATGGCTAATTCATTTCAATGTATGACAAAAACCACTGCAATGATGTAAAGTAATTAGCCTCCAACTAATAAAAATAAATGAAAAAAAAAAAAAAGACCCCAAGACCCCCCGCCGCACGCATGCAGACACCATGCAGCCAGGGAGAGAAGGGCCAACACAGACACACGGGGAGCGGAGGCCCAGGACAGGCTCAGGTCAGAGCCTGCCTGGGGAGCACAAGTCCTCACCTGGATCAGGTCGAGCTTGGAGAAGAGGCCCAGGCCCCTGGGCACAGCTTGGGCAGAGGAGCAGCACTGCTGGACCATGTCATTGATGGCCGCTTGCACATAGTTGAGCAGCTCACTCTGCAGGAAGGGGAGCAGGCTGGGGCCCCCTCTTAGAATCCCCTGCCCCCTCTCCCCACCTCGCTCAGGCCAGAGAGGCATGCTGGAGCCAGGAGCCACCTTCTCATCTCGGCCTGTGCTCCACACCCAAAGGGGCTGGGATGAGTCCCTCCACTCCCCGGAGTCAGAACATCCTCCCCTGCAAAGAGGGACACAGGACGGATGGCTTTCCAGAGGGTCCTCCTGGCTGGGGAAACCTGAGGTTCACACCCAATGGAGGGGCTTGGTGGGGGGCACCTAGAGAAACCCAGGGCTCCTTACTCGGGGCAGCTCCAGAGTCCTGCACTTCAGGTCTTCAGAGTCGTGATCAGCCATGGCTTCCTTGCTTCCCACCTTAAAGAGAAAGACCCAGAACAGGCTCTGTAAACTGCGGCCGATCCAGGTCCCCCTCAGGGCTCCTTGACTGGGAGTAGAAGCCCACAGACTCCAATGCTCATGTCTTCCAAACTAGTCTCCCACGGGGCCTGAGAAGGTCCCACATTCTCCGACTGCACCCTGCTCACGTGGGGTGTGCCCAGCACTGCCCTGTGCCTCAGCCTGGCTTCCCCACCTCCTCCCAGCAAACCCCGAGACTAGTAGGGCACAAACTCTGGCGTGGGGAGGACCCGGGGGGAGTTCAGAGGGTAACTAGTCCACATTCCCCAGCCCAGGAAAGAAAAGCTCAAAGGATTAAACCCAGAAATCTTGTCCCCTGACTTCAGTTTAGTTCGGTTCAGTCACTCAGTCGTGTCTGACTCTTTGTGACCCCATGCACTTCAGCACACCAGGCCTCCTTGTCCATCACCAACTCCTGGAGCTTGCTCAAACTCATGTCTATCAAATCGGTGGTGCCATCCAACCATTTCATCCTCTGTCATCCCCTTTTCCTCCCACCTTCAATCTTTCCCAGCGTCAGGGTCTTTTCCAGTGAGTAAGTTCTTCACATCAGGTGGCCAAAGTGTTGGAGTTTCAGCCTCAGCATCCGTCCTTCCAATGAATATGCAGGACTGATTTCCTTTAGGATGGACTGGTTGGATCTCCTTGCAGTCCAAGGGACTCTGAAGAGTCTCCTCCAACACCACAGTTCAAAAGCATCAATTCTTCGGCACTCAGCTTTCTTTATAGTCCAACTCTCACATCCATACATGACTACTGGAAAAACCATAGCTTCAAGTCCCCTGACTTCAGCCCTGACTGATTCTTTCTGAGCATCACTCTTCTCCACGGTGAAATAGATATGAGTAAGAATCACATTATTTAGTAGTACACATGCATGATTGGGGGTATCCCAGCTGCCTTAACAGCCTGTGGCCTCAGCATCTGCCTCTTCTTAGAGAAGCACTTTGACAGCTAATAGCCACTAGATCAAAGCAGTCAATCCTAAAGGAAATCAACCCTGAATAGCTATTGAAAGGACTGATGCTGAAGCTGAAGCTCCAGTAGCCTAGCCATCTAATGGGAAGAACTGACTCATTAGAAAAGACCCTGATGCTGTGAAAGACTTGAAGGTGGGAGGAGAAGGGGATGACAGAGGATGAGATGGATGAATGGCATCAGCGACTGGATAGACATGAACTTGGGCAAACCCCGGGAGATGGGGAAGGACAAGGAAGCCTGGCGTGCTGCAGTCCATGGAGTCACAAAGAGTCAGATATGACTTGGCAACTGTACAACACCACCAAGCCACGAGGGAGAAGTGGGTAAGCGGTGTGTGTGTGTGTGTGTGTGTGTGTGTGTGTGCACACATTGGGGGCTGATATTATGGAGGCGACAGCAGCCCTGCCTCTCGCCCCACCCCCGCCCCACCCAGCAGACTGAGCTCACCTCACCGCTGCCTGCGTCTTTCTGGTGGGTGACGCCACGCTCCAGCCGCTGCCACTGCTCCTGCTTGCGGTGACACCTCCTCTGTAGCTGGCACAGCCGGATCCTGAGGCACTGCGGTGAGGGTGGCTGGTTCACTTCGGTGCCGCAGACCCTCCCCGGGGGCATCTGCCCTGGACCTGGTCCAGGAACTCAGTGCTCAGGGCTGTCTGAGCGAGGATGGGGGTGGGGAGTGGAAAGTTCGGGGATCAGAAAGTTCTGGGGGGGGAGTCAGAGCCATTCAAAGCACCAGGAGATGTAAGGAAAGGTATGTGTAGGGCTTCTCTGGTGGCGCAAGTGGCAAAGAATTTGCCTGCAATGCGGGACACCCAGGTTTGGTCCCTCGAGAAGATCCCCTGGAGGAGGGCATGGCAACCCACTCCAGTATTTCTTGGAGAATTCTATGGACACAGGAGCCTGCAGGCCTACAGTCCTTGTGGTCGCAAAGAGTCAGACGTGACTTCTCTTTCTTTCTTTTTCTTTATTTCTCTTTATTTCTCTCTTTCTTTCTTTCTCTTTATTTCTCTTTCTTTCTCTCTTTCTTTCTTTCATGTGTAACTCTGTGGACTGTAGCCCACCAAGTTCCTCCATCCATGGGATTCTCCAGGCAAGAATACTGGAGTGGGTTGCCATTTCTTCCTCCAGGGGATCTTCCCGACCCAGGGATCGAACCCAGGTCTCCCCCATTGCAGGCAGATGCTTTAACCTCTGAGTCACCAGGGAAGCCCTACTGAGTGACAAACACTTTCACTTTTCAGGCTGACTGGGGTTTGAATCGCAGCTCAGCTCCTCGAGCCCAGTTTCACTCTCCATAAGCAAAACCACCCGTCTGGGCCCTTCCGGCTGCAGGTGCTGCTGGGAGGACACTGGGTCGGGGACAAAGCTGTGAAGGCCTCTGGGGAACAGGCTGCGCTGGGCACACTCCCCCCGTGAGGATGTGTTGGGGGACACAGCATATATATGACTCCTCACTTTTCCGAGCCCTAGTTTCCTTACTTTGAAAATGAGGAAAAATAGTCTGCCTGGGACTAAAGTGCAACACTTAGCTCAGAATTAATATCATAAATATTTTAATGCAACCTTTCTGAAAATCAAAGTTAATGCAAAAAATAATGTGCGATGAGCAAAATATTAAAATTTTCAATAAAGTTGGAATCCAATATTGCACTTGCACACCTCACTCCCCTCCCCTAGTCTCAGCTCTAGGAACAGAAGCACCTGCCTTGGGGTGCTGGGGTGAGATTTGAATGAGATAAAGCATGTTAAGTCTTTTCACAGTGTCCCTCCCTCAAAGGAAAAAAAGGTACAAAATGGTGTAGGTGGTCAGTGATACCACTAGGGGGCAGAGACTGGCTGCAAATTCCAAGCCAGGTCCTTGCAAGAATCAACCAACCCGTCAGCTTCTTTTTTCCAGTTTCCTCCCTCTCCACGTCCCTATCCTTGTCCTCTTGTGTCCCCAGGCCCCAGCTGCAGCACAAAAATTCATCATGCCATGCCTTTGCCAGGGAAGTTTCTTCTGCACAGAATGCCCATCCCTTGGGCTGAAAGTTGAGTTTATTAGAAGATAAACCAAATATGAGAGATATGACCTCTGGGATCAGGTCAGAGGTTTCTGTTCGGTGTCTCACAACAGCCTACCAGCTAGGTTGTATTGACCCCATTTCGCAATTGAAGAAACTGAGGCTCAGAGAGGGTTGTGCCCAGGGTCATGCAGCTAGTCAGAGGCTGAAGGGGAATTTGAACCTCAGTCTGTCTGAATCTAGCACTCCTGACTTTTCTACCATGAAGAATACTTTTTAAGCATAAGCTGAGTTTTCCAGGGGAGACACCCAGCAGAAGCAGAGGGAAAGGGATTCAGAACAAGGCTCTGGAGCGACAGCCCCACCCAGATTCCCAGCAGCCCGCCCCTACTCCAGGCCTTCTTCTGGGGTGCAGGGGGTGGTGGGTGCCTACAACCCAGTTCTCTGCCCAGGGGGATGGGCCAGGCTTCAGACAGCTGTTACCGGGATCAGAGCCCTGTGGCCCTCCTCTAGAGATTCCAGACTCTCGTGGACGGCCTGGTTCATCTCAAAGAAGGCCTCGAGACGCTTCTGGATGTCCTGGCTGACTGCGAAGAGCTTCCCATAGTGCTCCACCATGGCCACCAACGGGGTTTCCTCCGGCCCCTCCCCTTGGTTATGGCCTGTGGAGACAGTGCGTGGCAGAATGGGTGGGCACAGAATGCCCAGCCCTTACCTGCCCCCTGCGGTGATGCTCACACGGTGGGGGGGGGGGAGGACTGATGCTTTAGCTGGAGCCCCAGAGTTGAGAAGTCTCCGTTACCCATCTCTTGTCCCTTTAGGAGAAGCCTCAGCATTTGAAAGTCTGCAAGGATTCTGGATTGAGTGGGGATTCTGGATCGCTGTCGAGTGAGGCAGGAGACTCCCCACACCCTGCCCCACCCCCCTGGAGCCCCCAGGAGAAACTGCTGGCTGGGGGAGCCTGCAGGAAGAGGACAAGGGTCGTTGCTGCCCTGAGTGAACAGGCCCCAGCCTTGGTGTTTGCTCCTTCCGGTGAGTTGAACAGGGTTGCATGGCTGAATTAGGAAGACCCCCAACCTAGGAGGCTGCTGGCAGCAGCCCTGGGCACTGGGTCCACATCAAGACCTGTGCTCGGCCTGGAGCCCTGCGCCTCTCCTTGGCTCGGTGCTCAAGGCTCTCTGGTGCTTCTCAACCTTCCAATCACACCTCCCAGCAATCCCTGCCAGGCCCCGGCACTCCAGCACACTGGAACTCACCAGCCCCAAACCCACCACGCAGGGCTCCAGCCTACGTTTGTGCTGTTCCCTCTGACTGCAATGCTGGGCCCTTTTGCTGAATACTTTTGAGCTCCATTAGTGGCCCCCTCCTCCATGAAGCCTTCCCTGACCTCCAGGGCAGAGTCCTTGGGGCTCCCACAGCTCCAGAGCACTTAAGCACAGTGGCTCTGAAATCAGATGGGCCAAAGTCTGAGACCCAGCTCCACCACTTCCTGGCTAGGTGACCTTGGCCAAGTCCCTTAAGGCCTCTGAGCCTGGGTAACACAGTTCCCAGAAGCTCCTACGAGTGTGTGTGCTCAGTTACCCACTTGTGTCCAACTCTTTGCAACCCCGTGGACTGTAGCCTGCTGGGCTCCTCTGTCCATGGGATTCTCCAGGCAAGAATACTGGATTGCCATTTCCTTCTCCAGGGGATCTTCCTGACCCAGGGATCAAACCTGCGTCTCCTGCATCTCTTTCTTTGACAGGCAGATTTTTTTACCGCTGAGGCACCTGGGAAGCCCTGGCACCTCATAAGGAGGGGTTAAAAAGATTAGCTAAAGATCTTTGCACAGAGTAAATATTTCATAGACAATAATAGTTGTTTTATTATTGATGGTGTAAAGATAATAATATGATAATAATAATACACATATGTAACTATGACTTCCCTTCCTTTTCCTATCAAGTTTCCGGCACTGATCACAGTGGATTCTGGCACAAACCACGATCAAATGAAACAGAGAAACCCATTTCAGATGTCTGTGTGATTTTAGATCCAACAAGCAAACCCAAAGACAAATGAGATAATAATAATAGCTGCCATTTCCTGGGTGTTAGCTGAACATCAGGTGCTGTGCCTCTGGGTTGGCCAGAAAGTTCGTTCGGGTTTTCCCATAAGATGCTACAGAAAAACCCAAGGGAACTTTTTGGCCAAGCCAGTACATGATGATAAAAGATGATCCGTGCTACGGAACTCTCGCTGTTCCCACTGTACAGAGACGTTGAGAACTTGCCACACAGGTCACACGACTGGTGGCCAGGCTGGCTCGACCACGGTGGCACGGGCCTGTGGGTTCCCATGCGGCAGGTGAGCTCGAGGTTCAGTGGGGTCACGGGTGCCCGGGTCCCGGGCTGGGAGGTGGTCGCGGAGAGAACAGGCCTTCTGAGAAAGCTCCATACGTACCCTTGGGGATCTCCTCAAGGACCCTGATCAGATAGTCTTCAAAAAGCTTGTGCTTCTCCACCTCCCTCTTCAGCTTCCTCTGCCTGTCGAGACATTTCAGTGCCGGCGAGTGAGCCAGACAGGAGGACGTGGTGTGGAGACCCCTAGGCCGTGACCCCTGGCAAGGGCCCGTCTCTGGAGCCGTGTGGATCTGGGCTGGACCGGTCACTGTCCCCATCACTTGGGGACACTGACTTGCATCTCTCCACTCCCGTTTTACTGCTGAGTAAACTGAGTCATAGACAGGTCAAATAGATGCCAGTGGTCAGGCCGTAAGAAAGGAGACCCGGGGGGAAAGCAAGGCTGAGGCTTTCTGATGTGGGGTCTATGGAGCCCCTCCTGTAGGCTGAGCAGGTGGCAGATGGCCTGAGCCCCCACTAGCTGGTGATGTAGCCAGGGGCTTCACCTCTCTGTGCCTGGGTGGGCCATGTGTAACAGGGGTAACCAGACCCTTCCTCACAGGACGGTGGGGATCAGATCTGGGACGCCCAGCACACCTGAGGTTGGGGCCCCAGCGGCCCCCAGAGGGGAGATGGCCACATGCTACTGCCCAGCCATGCTTGACAGTGAAGGGCATCACCAAGCAAGATGAGTCTCCTGCTCTGGGCCCATTCAAGGTCAGCAGTCAAGGGCAGAGGACAGAGGGGGACAGGGCCATGGTAGGTATCTCTGAGTGACCACTGAGTGCCCCAAGGCAAGCCACTCTGCATCTCAGACCCTATTTTCTCATCCACACCATCCTGAAAAATGCAAGAAAGAATGGTCTTCCCTGCTGCAAATACCACGTGGGGTGAGCCTCAGTACTAAACATTATTGGGGTTGGAAGCCCTGTAAGAATATGATGGATGGGTTGGACCTTCTCTCCAAAAACTCACGGAAACATCCTTTTGCACCCAATTCAGGCTTTCGTGGGCAGCCTGATATGGAAAGGCCTCTCTGGGCAAGGACCCAGGGCGTCTGCTTGGAGCCAGGGCAGCAGCCTCACACGTTGATTTTGGAAGGGCTGAGCCGACAGGTGCATGGGGATGGCCACCCACAGCCCTGCCTTCATGCTGGGAGACTGAGCTTGTGCAGGGCCTGCGACCAGCCAAAGCCTAAAGTCAAAGGGGAGAGTTAGGTGCCCCCACCTCTTGCTACTCACAATTCAGCTACCCCTCCTGACTTACTCCCAGGCATCCCCCACTCCCTGGCCATTTCCTGGCCCTGAGGAATTTTTCCATTGCTTCCTCAGGCATTTTTGTTCAGTCCCAGCCACTTAGCCCACTGCAGGTGGCCCTGGGGCCGGGGCCGGGGCACAGCGGGGCTCGGGACAACTCGTACTTGGCCTGGAGTTGGCAGAGTTCCTGGAACAGCACCCGCAGGTCCCTGTCCTTGTTGCCGGGATCACACGGGACAGCCTCCTGGCCTGCATCCTTGGCTGCCGGCATCGCCGCCACACCACCTCGTGCGACTCTGGACGATGGGGGCTGCGTGGGCCAGGCAGGAAGGAGATGGGTGGCCACGACAACAGTCAAGGTGGCAGCTTTCTCTTCCAGTCCTCCTGACAGCCCTCAGAAGTCAGGTTCCAGTTTCACTTCCTAGAAAAGGAAACCTAGGTTCAGAGGGGACCCCTGTGACCAGCTCGAGGATGTACAGCAGGGCTGATTTGGACTCAAGTTTCATTAAATTCAAAGTCTGGGGCCTTTGAGCAGTGCCTCCAGCTCTGGAGGGACCAAAGGTGCCATTCTGCAGTGGCATCTTTGTCATTGTCACCCCATAATGGGGACTGTCAAGACCCATGGGTGTCAAGACGCCTGGGACTTCCAACAGGTGCTGGCTTCCAAGAGCATTCAGGAAAAGAGTCCAAGGGGGCAGAGCTGGGGCAGGGTCAGAGAGCAGCCCACAGAGGGAGGAGGCACCTTTGTCATCAATCTCATCTATCTCTATCCACCCATCCTGCCAACCATTTATGCATTTAACTGACATATACTTTGAGCTCCCATAGAGCTAGACTGAGGTACACACTTGGAATAAGCTCACGATCAAGCTGGGAAAGTGGCCTAGTTAACATGCAGTTTCAATACAGCCTTGCAAAGAGTTCCTGGGCTGCTCACCTAAGTCTGGTTTGCTAGTTACGGCTAAAAGAAGACAATCTCCCTAAGCACCATTCACTGGCCATGTGCTGGGCCAGGCCAGCACATGGGAGGAGCAGGGTGAGAAGGGGAGGGGCTACTTGGTCAACTTTTCCAGCCCCCAGCGTCAGATATGGGTCCATGAACGCAGGGAGGAGGAAGGGGCCCGGCTGACTCACTCGACAGCTCCAGGAGCACAAAGCCATTGCCAACCTCTGACGTCACAATGCCGGCTTCCGTTCTCATGACGTTGTCTATTGCAGGATTTACCTGGGGGTGGAGTGGAGGGCCTGATTCCCTGAGGTCCTGGGGGCCTTTTTGTCCCTGGTTCAGTTCCCCAGGGAAGGGGAAGGGGTGGAGAAGCGTTGGTGACCTCGGGGTGGTGGTGGGGTGGACTTGGGTTGTTTTTGCCCTTCTTTCAAGGCTCATCTTCCTTGATACCCCTACCTTGCAAGCTTCCCAAATCCTACTGGCTTGTCCTGGGACTCCCCTTTTTGCCTCCTTTAACCTGATTCTGGGTAGCTATAGCTTGGGTACTTCCCTAGGTGGGATAGACAGCAACCATGGAGGGTTCAGTCCCTCTCTCCCCCGCCACCTCCCGCCCCAAGGCTCAGGATGCAGCCTGACCTGGGGCAGGGGAGGTGAGGGAACAGAAGGACACTTCTGGACCTAAACCTGGTACTGGCCCTGCCCCTGCCTAATGCTCAGCCCTGTTACCTGGTGCAGGGCCTCTGTCACTGGAGGGGACCCGGGCATGGGGCCTGCCTCTGATACACCTGTTCCATTCACTGCCCAGGTATCTGGCCAGACCTTCCCCACTGGAGGCCCCATTCAATCAGAGCTGGGGCTCTGCAGAGACCAGCCTGGGAGGGTCTCACTGGGGAGACTGTCAGGAGGGGCTGCAGTGAGGGCAGACGTGGAGCGAGGGGCTATGTGGGTGCAGAGACAGGGTTGGGGTTGAGGGCAGGGTGTGAGGTCGGGTCTGTGGCTGGAGCTGGGCAGGGGCTGGGGCTATGACTAAGGCTGGGGCAGGCTCTGGATCAAAGGTTGAGGATGGGGCAACAGCCAACCCAGAGGAGCTGGGCTCGTTGTTATTCTGGGACAATTCCCCAGCTTGCACTCTTCAGCATTCCCCTCATGACTCTTCATCAGCGGGCAGTGGATTCAGTCTTAGCTGGCAGAGGAGTCTCTGAGCAGGTCCCAAGGGAGCTGTCTATCTGACCCTCCATGGTTCTGGAGCCCAGAAAGCTTTTGTTGAGACCAACCAAGAAACAAAGGTGGACCTGGATCTGGCCTTGGGCTCAGATGAAGGGTTGCTGGTGCTGAGAGAGAGAAGCTCCGGGGCTGCCTAGAGGGTCAGAGCCAGGCCTGGGGGTGAGGGGTTGTGTGTGGAGGGGGGGTGGAGGAAGTCCCCCCAGTTTTGACAATGCCTGAGGGGGTTCTTGGGCTTCCCAGTTGGTAGTAGTGGCACAGAACCCACCTGCCAATGCAGGAGACATAAGACATATGGGTTGGATCCCTGGGTTGGGAAGATCCCCTGGAGAAGGGCAAGGCAACCCGCTCCAGTATTCTTGCCTGGAGAATCCTATGGAGAGAGGAGCCTGGCGAGCTACATAGGGTCGCAAAGTCACAAATAGACATGACTAAAGCAACTTAGCACCCATGTATGAGGTGGTTCTTGAAGATAAGAATGAATGAGGCTGCACATAGAAGTGATTGTAAAAAGCGGAGTAAGTCAGAGAAAGACAAATGGCACACATCACTTATGTATGGAGTTAAAAAATATTACAAATGACTATGTACCAAACAGAAACAGACTCTCAGACATAGAAAACAGACTTAGGGTTTACCAAAGGGAAAAGGAGGAGGAGAGATAAGTTAGGAGTTTGGGATTAACAAATATACACTACTATATATAAAACAATAACCAACAAGGTCCTACTGTCTGGCACAGGGAACTTGACTCAGTTCTTGTAATAACCTCTCCTGGAAGGGAATCTGAAATAGAACAGATGGATACATATGGATAACTGAGTCACTTTTCTTTATACCTGGAACTAACACAGCATTATAGATCAACTATACTTCAGTTTTAAAAAGAAGAATGAGTGAGGAGAATTAAGGTTGAAAGGGCATTCCTGGCCGAAGGACCAGCAAAGACAAATGTTCCGAGGCACATAGTAGCAGACATGGACTGTGAGAACAGTAGGCGGGTCCTTAAAAGCTGAAGGTGAAGGTCAAAGTTGGGATATGTTTGGGGAAGCTGCCAGCAGGAGCCAGAGCATCTCCACCAGGACCTTGGGACACCTGAAACAGAAACTGATGGGGCCACTCTGGACAAAGAGGACATCCGTGAGAGGCTGTGAAGGGTTGCACAGAATCAGAAGGAAGGCTGAAGAGCCAGATTCAGAGAGGACCAGGTCCCAGGGCAGCCCTGGGGATCCAGACAGCAGGAACTCAGGGTGATAATCTCCCAAATGAATCCTTCCAACCTCTTTCCTTATGGAAGGCTTCTCCATCCTTAAGAGGCAAAGTCCTTAGAGAATGTGCCTAATTGGCTGAGCCTGGGTCATGTGCCCGCCCCTTGGCTTGACTGACAGTCATATCATGGGCTCTGCCTTGGGGGCCGAAGGTTTCCCAGGGCAAATCCTGAGGCTGCTGATTCTAGAAGGGGAAATGGACCCTGGGCAGGGCTCACTGCACGGAGGCCCAGAGAAGATGGAATGAGTTTGGGTTTTATCCTGAAGGCGATAAGCAGCTAAAGGAGAGAAAAGTGAAAGTGAAATCGCTCAGTCCTGTCTGACTCTTTGAGACCCCATGGACTGTAGCCCACCAGGCTCCTCCATCCATGGGATTTTCCAGGCAAGAATACTGGAGTGGGTTGCCACTTCCTTCTCCAGGGGATCTTCCCAACCCAGGGATTGAACCCCGGTCCACCACATTGCAGGCAGACGCTTTACCGTCTGAGCCAGCAGGGAAGTCCCTGGAGAGGTGCTGCCAGCCTGACACTTCAGAGCCTGCTAACGCGCTCAGAGCGGAGGGGAGGCAGGCAGGCCAGCCGTGGCAACGTCTCATGCTTTCAGCACACTTGTAAGCACCTCCCACGTGGGGGACCATTTAACATCTCACATCCACGAGGTCAAACCTGCTATTTTGCAGATGGGGAAACTGAGGCCCAGAGAGGTTACATAAGTTGCCACCATTGGGAAATTGCTGAGCTATGAATTCAGGAAGTTGGGATTCTAGAAACGTCTGGGAGGTTGAGTTTTGCTGGGACATGGGGTCCTCCAAGGATACAGAGTGAGGGAGGCGGCCCTGGGGAAGCCTCCGTCAGCTCCCCCTGGGCTCCAGGCCTTCATTTATTATTAAGGGCACATGACTGACCCTCCTTCTGCTGAAAGAAGCTGCTGGAACAGCCTCACCAGACCCTCATCTCTTCCCAGGCCCACCCCTCTCTGTACCTCATCTCCCAGCAGCACAGGGCCCTAAACCACTTGACCCAATATAGCCATAGGCAGGGGGGTTATGCAGGTGGTGGGACCATTCACTTCCCAGTGAGGATTTTATTTTTGGCCTGAAATATCCCACCCGTGAACAAGGCTGGGAGACAGACTTTATGTGGCTCCAGAGAGATTTCTCCCTGTCTGGCCATACCGATGGGGCTTCCTCGATGGCTCAGAGGGTAAAGAATTCGCCTGCAATTTAGGAGACAGAGGAGACACAGGTCCGATCCCTGGGTTGGGAAGCTCCCCTGGAGAAGGAGATGGCAACCTGCTCCAGCATTCTTGCCTGGAAAATTCCACGGACAGAGTAGCCTTGGGGGCTACAGTCCAAAGGGCCGCAAAAAGTCAGGCAACGACTAGGCAGGTCCCCACGGAGCCCCACCACACACAGTCACAATTTCCAGGCATGACGCCTGCCGCTTGTCTCTTGACCTGGAGTCTCTCTTTGGATTCTCAGCGCAATCCTTGTAGAAGGTGAAAGCATGGCTCCGTTTTGCAGATGAGAAAACTGAGGATCAATGAAGTGAAGTCACTTGCCAAGGGCACATGGCTCATAACAGGCAGCAGGGCTGGCTGTGCAATCTGTGGGAGCCGGTGCAACAGGAAAAAGCTAGCCCCTTACTCAGAAAATTAAGAATTTTAAGACAGGACAGCAGGCCATAAAACCAAATTGGGAATCTTAAGAGTGCAGGCCTTGCACAACTGCATTCCTGCTCGGGATTTGGACCCTGGTCTAGGGGGTCCAGAACCTGTTTTTAAACTCCCACTTCCTTCCAGACCACTAAGCTGCCCTGAACGCTCCTCCCCCGACCC